GTGAAAGTGCTACGTTGTAGTGGTGTTTTATCCTCAAAGTATGGACTGGCTTCTGGTGTGTAAGGGATGGGGGGGGGGCGGGAGGGTGGGATTGGGAGGCTTGAAGAGCCAGTTTTGAGGTTTTGTTTGTTTATCTTGAGATCACAGCAGGGTTCCTGTCCCCTCCACCCTTTTTGGGGGTCTGACTTCGGATTTGTTTTCTTTTGGGCAGTCATTGAGGTTTCATTCAATGTACTGAGTTAAAAAAAATACACTCCACTTGTAGCTTTCCCCGGTTGCACTTTAAAACACCATCCAGTCTCACCCTCATCTGGAAATAATGCAAGCTTCTCTCTCTTCCCCCGCTCCCTCCCCCGCCCCCTTTTTTCCTTTTAAAGCCCCACATAACCTGAAGTCAGTAATATGATGGAAAATATGCTGGTCTTAGTTTACTTTAGTCTACTCTCCCTTTTGGTGGCAATTTTACTTGTAGAGGTGTATTTTAAAAGCAGGCATTTGGTGCACATGTAGCTGCCCAGTCTTGAAATCTGTCACCGATGTAAACTTGCTGTAAGTTTCTTCACAGACACTGTTTATATGCAACTTCTAATATTTTTGTTGTGTGCACTTAAGAAAAGGTACCAGGAGGACATCAGAGATTTTAGCAGTGACACTAGTTCATCTAAAGTCATTCATCCTCTCCCTCCCCCTTCCTTTTTCCAAGAAACAACTAATCACAACCCAGGCTAGAATTTCTAAAAGAGGTTAGAGGAGGAGGAGGAAAAGAGGCGGAGTTGGATAGGGGATTGAGGTTAGAAGGGCCAGAATTTCTCTCATTCACAGGGTGGAAAAGTTGACATTGTCTAAGCCCTTCTGAATGGCTGGTAGTTGGTTACCCCGATTGTACCTCTACCTCCCCTCCCCCTCCACGTGACGACCCAGGACACATGCGCACCCGACGCCCGGCACATCTGCAGAACTGACGTCAGTGCTCTGCCTCCGAGGAAAGGCTGCCAAATTTTCTGCTGCAATTCAAGTTGGCTGGGGGCCGGTAGTGAGATCTAGGGCTACTTCAACAAAACTTGCTGCCCTTCCTGCTCCTCTTGTCTTCTTTTCTCCTGATACCTTTTGATGCTCTTCACATGTTATTTGCATAGCAAAGGCACTAAGCTGTCCAGGAAGAAAGGGCACCACTTCCACCCCCAATAAGTCTTTTTTTTTTCCTTCCTTTCTTTTTTTCTTTTCCTTTCCTTGGAGGTGGGGGGCGGGAGCAAAAGGGGGTTTGCAAAGGCAGCATCTCAGGATGATAGCCTGGTTGTATTGAAGGCATCTCTTTTTCTGCCAAATCGGAAAGTCCGTTCTCTCAAGCCTGGGTTAGCCAGACTATAGGGTTTTATTCTGGCTGCAGAATAACTAACTGACTGCTGTGGCTTTGCAAAGGGGGGCAGGAAAAAAAAAGTTTAGGAGAGGGAGTACGTGAGTCGTCCAGTGCAATCTCTATTGTTTGAAACTTACTTTTTATCAGAATTTGAAGATGAAAACGGTAAGGAAGACTTCACAATATTCAATGAAACCGTTTTTTAAAAAAAATATTAAAACTTGTGCTTTGCTTGTCTTCCGAATAACACGTAGAAAACTTTTTTCTGTGTGTGTGTGTGTGTTTAATGGCAATGAGTGAGCTTGACTGAACTCATTTTACAGATAGAAATCTTTTTAACTCCAGACTAGTCAGGATTGGAGAATTCTGGGTCTTGCAAGTATATTATGATGCAAAAATATATGTTTATTATACGGATAGATGTTTTGTGAAGTGTGACTTGATTATAATTATTGTGGTCTTTTAACTCATCACCAAATAGTAATCGGGAAAGTAATAATGATATGTATTTTAAACTGATTTCCAGCTTTCTTAAAGAAAAACCTTCTGCATTTTATGGTTTCATGTCAGTGTCTTAAGAATTCAGACAAGTGCATAGTTTATGCTTGGGCTCAGATGGCAGAATTAATGTGCTCGTTGTAGCCCCGATGCTCTAGGATATGTTAAGCTCTTAATAGGCTAATCAAAGAGATGGAAGCGTGTGTTTTTGATTTACTTTTGGCCACTTGGGACGTGCTAGACTCATAACCCTCCCGGAGCCTTGAATATCGGGGTATGTCTGTATATATAGTACATGGGATCAAAGTTCAGGGATTTGGGGGGGTGGAGTGTGTGCTGGAGGGGTTATTGGAAAGTGGCCTTCTGATAATGTGTACTACAATTCCTGTCTTTGGTAATTTCTTTCCTTGTTGTACTAGAAGAAAAGAGAGCGAGAGAGTGAGAAAGCGCACTGAGAGGGAACAAGAGAGTGAGTTTCTTACTCTTGTTTTTATTTGAGCTGCCGGTGCAACGCGTTTGGGCCAAATGCCAACTGTCTGGGTCACACGCGTTTTATCCAAATAGATTTAGCGCTGCTGTCTGGAAATGGGCTGCTGAATGTTAACTTCAGGATCAACTCAACCGGGGCAGCTCAGACTGTTACCCTCTGTCTGGGAGAAGTGGGATGGGGGGAGCGTGAGGGTGTGCAGAACTGGGGGAGGTGGGGGAGGAAAGGGGAAACTGAACCACTGCTTGGAACTTTTAAAAAGACACTGGAGTGTGATTTTCAACCTAATCTTTTATGTTTAAATATCTTGGACTAATTTTCTTTCTTTTGTTTTTCCTTCTCTTTTTCGCTGTTGTTGATTAGACTGAAACTTAGATGTGGGAATGACAGTTCTCAAAATTCATTGCAGGGAAAGAAATGTAAAATAAAGAAATGTTGTGTAGTTGAAGGAAATTGGGAAAATTAATTTTGTAAATAATTGTTTTCCTGTGTTCCACCAAAGTGGTAACTGCAATTCTGTTTTATATTAATTTAGTGCTTAAATGTGATCATTGGTGTTTTGGATTTTTGAAGCATAGCGTATAGAGGCAAGTAGTTGATTTCAAACAAATCAAATTCATTCATTTGCAACAAATGACAGCAATTTAAATCTATGTTGTGGTATTAATATTTTTGTGATTCTCAGGGAAAAAAATCTCTAACCTCAAGACCTGAAATATTTTAATACTTTTCATGTCTGGGCCAGTATGTGTGAAATTAATTCCTACTCTTGTCTACCCTTACCACTTCCTCTTCATTTCCTTAGCAACCACTAGTAGCTACTAGTGGTTTAGGATGGATTTCTATGCCAAATCCTATCCCGTGTGTGACTTTTGTGAGAGAATAAAGGAAGTTAACATATTAAGAGAGTTAATAGCAAGTTCTATAGAACATTTCTGAGGGGGTGGGAACAGAATAAAACTCTAAAGAGGTTGATAGGACATAGTTGATTATCAACATTTTGAACTAACCTCAAGAGAAAGAGGTGTTCGTTTTTCAGGAGAGAAGTTATAATACAGATAATGTACACCTGACTTGCTCTCTGGAAAAAAAACAGTTTGAGACAGTATGCAGTTTAGGGCTTGATTTTTGTAGAATGTTGTTTTGTTGGTGGCTCATTTGCTTTTCTTGATAGATAAGTTTTCAGAATGTTTAATTATACCTTTCCTTGGAAACCAATCTTACAAAGTTTATAAATGATCTGGAAACCTTTGTACTTATAGCCTGGTAGTGTCATTGGCATATAGTGTGACAATAAATATTTGTTGAGAGAAAATAAATAACGAGGGTTAAGATGGATGAAAGAAGTTGAGAAGGATGTTGTACATGTTCTTTTAGCTTCAGAATAATAGTTCAGGAGATGAAATTATTACCTTGGCTACTCCCAGATCACTTGAGTGGGAAGTAAAGATGATAGAGGAAAAAGACAAGTTAAGTACCCGTCAACCAGGGCAGACTACTGAGGGAATGACTGCAATGCAGGTTGTCCGATCTTATTTCTGTTTAGCTAGTGTAGCTTTGATCCGTGGAAACAGGTAAATGATCCCTTAACTTTATTGGCTGGTGCATTTGTGTTAGGGAAAAAAGCATACATGAAGTCAAAGTAAAATGAAAGTTTTGAGCCTTGTTTTTATATTTAAAGTATTGTAAGCCCAGTTATCATGACCTAAATTCTTGACTGTTTGCTCCAAAAGACAATGCGATGTAGCTGATTGATTCTATCATCATTTCCAACTATTCCACATTTTTGAGGGAAGGAGAAACATAAAACTATTTTTGAAGGAAGGCTTTTGAAAAGTGATGAGTCAGATTATGGGGGGGGCGGCTAATATTTGTTTAGCCATTAAAGTGAAGTGTGGGGACACTTCCCATCATGTGTAATCTGATTTAATCTCTCAACAAGTCTGTGTAAGGTAGATATCATTATCACAGTTTTATAGATGAAGAAACAGATCCAGAGAGTTTAAATAACTTGGAGTCCAGCCAGGACTCAAAGCCTTTGTGATTTTTGATAATAATGCTTCTGCTATATACAAAGTAAAGAGTTAATGCATTATGATTTCTGGACAATTATGTAATTTTAATGTTGTCTAAATTTTGGAAACTATATCTGGAAATGTCAGTGCCTCTACATAGTTGTTGATGATATGCAGATTAAGCTCTCCAGCAGGTTTCAAAAAGTAAGTTAACCCATTCATTTTAAAAAATTTCTTTTAACTGTTTAGATTACTCATTGGCAGGAAAGAAAATTCCAGTAAGAAACTTGGCACACTGATTTTCATCTGCTAAAATGTTATCACCTGGTATATAATAATAGCTAAGTAGGGAGAATAGTAGGGAAAGTCAAGAAAGGAAATCAAGAGCCTGACAGAGGCCTTATTTCCTTACTGAGGCCCTTGGAAGGCTTTATCTGGAGAATAGCAGAGAGCTGTTGAAGGTTAGTGAGCAGGAGAGGGTCAGTGTCACTTCCGAGGCTAGTGTCAGGGGAGGATTGCTCAACCCCTGGTCAGCCCTTAAGCCCTAGCCACCTACATCTCTGAGGTTAGTGGTTCCCATGTAATATTCGTAATACTTAAGCTGTCAGGCACATGGGGGCAGAGGGTGTCCAAAGACTGAGGCTCAGAGGTTGAAGTGATTCCTGATACCTTCCATCCCCAGCCTGCCAGCCCCAGGCTGAATGTGATTGTCCTCAATGAACCCATCATCATCTTCATCTTCAATCACCTCCGGACAGATGCCCTGCCTTGTCTCAGGCAGCAGGTGGTGCTTGTAGCTGGTGTGTGTTTGCAGCAGAGGTGCCTTTGGCAGCAAGTGCAATGAGGACAGAAAGGACCCCCCTACTCCCAGCACAACCCCCACCAGCACAGACCATGCCTGGGCCCTGGTGCTCAATCTAGGGGCCATAGCTAGTGCTGTGGGGAGCTCTGAGGGCCCCACAATGACTTGGTTTGTCTCACTCGTGGAGTGGCTAAAAGACACTTGTGATCCTCAGCCTTGTCCAGAAGAGCCCTGGCTCTAAGGAGATCCCCAGGTGCCAGGCAGCCCTGGGACATGGAGTCCTGTGGGAGGACTAGCTAGGTCTGGCGATTATCTTCAGGTAGAGCATCTGAGTAGAGGAATGCCTGGGAGGAGTGTCCAGGCTAAGAAAGCACCCTGATTTGGAGCCCTCCTCCTGCTCCCAAGAGCCCTCAGGGATTGGTGGGTTTCTCCTCCCAGTCCCCTACCCCATTCATTTCTATTGTGAGGTGACTAAGTGGTTAGATATGTTCGTTGTTGATATTAGTTGAACTTGAGCCAACTCACACACTTACTCTTAAGTTTCTTCACTGGCGTTCAAGGCTTGAAAAAAGTGGGGAGTGAGGGTTTGGGTGAAAAAGGAGAAAGAAAGCCAAATTTATTGAGTGCTCATGTGCCAGATACTTGTAGCTAGTGGTGGAACCAATACTGTAACTCTGGTTTATTTAACCTCCAAGCTCCTGCTCTTTTTGCCATGCACCAGTGCCCTTTTTACTACAAGTTCTTAAATCAAATGTTAGTCTACTTCTGGCCAAATAGTTACATATTACTTTTTCTCTCAATGCTACTGGGTTACTTAACTTGGGTGTTTATAGGACAGTGTTAGTAATGGTAAGAGTGGAGGTTACAAAAATGTGAAGAGTAAGAAGTTTCTCAAGGGGGAAAGGAGTCAACTGTAAGAAATAAGATCAGCCAACTATATTGCTTGTTATTAGTTTGTATAAGTTTGCCATTAGTTTCAGAGCCCAGGAAAGTAGGGAAAAAAAGGATGAGTAATTCAGTATAAATCTATCACTGGTGCTAGAAAATTAATTGAAATGTGTTAATTATATATTCCTTTTTAAAATATTAGTTTAAAGCATTGGAGGCACTCCCTTAACGAGAGACATGATTATGGAAACACTCAATTGGCCTGAAAAAATTAAAATGACAAAGAGGGAAAGTTGCTCATGAAACAACAGGGAGTTGAGATTGTATGTAAGGAGGTTGGAATCAAGATAACCGGGTCGCGTTCATTCCTGTTACTAAATAACAAGAACCAGGATTGGTAACAAATCTCTTCATAGATTTGTGCCAGAGAAGGGACATATAGTGTCTGCTGTCTTGCGTAAATCATTGTTGAAGTAAGTTTGAAATGAAACAATTATTGTGTATAAAGTTGCTTAAAACTATTTGCATTAATTAACCTATGCCATTTATGAAAGTTTTCTTTGATAGTTGTTAGAATGCCTTAAACTGAAAGTGTGATATAATAGAAAGAATTTAGACTTTAGATTCAAGTATTCTTGTCAATAACTCTGGGCTCTGCTTTCTTTCTTTTCTTTTTTTTTTTTTTTTAAGCTGTGGGCTATGACCACTGTGAGCTTCAACTTCATTATCTGTAAATCGGCAGCTGTATTAGTTATCAGTTGTTGCAAAAAATGAAACAACCCCTAAACTTAGTGGCTTAAAATTACACACATTTATTATCTCAGAGTCCCTGTGGTTCAGGAGTCTGGGTGTGGCTGAGCTATGTCTTCCCTTCACGGTCTCTAAAGAAGCACCATGAAGGTGTTGGCCAGGACTGGGGTCACCACAGAAGGCTCCACAGGGAAGGGTTCTGCTTCCGAACTTACATTATCCATGGGCAGGATTCAGTTTCTTGCAGGCTATTGCATGGAAGGCCTCATTTCTCTGCCCCTGGCTTTCTGAAAGCTGCTCTCAGTTCCTTGCCATGTGAGCCTCCATATGGCAGCTTGCTCTTCATTAAAATCAGCAAGGGAGAGAGTCTACTAGTTAGCTGGAAGTTAGAATCTTTTTTGATTTAGTCATGGAAGTGACATCCCCTCCACATTGGGGTCTTTAATTGGTTATGAGCAAATGACTTAAGGGAAGACCTGGCCCAGTAGCTCAGTCGGTTAGAGTGTCATTCTGATACGCCAAGGTTGCGGGTTCGATCTCAAGTCAGGGCACATACAAGAATCAACCAATGAATGCATCAGTTAGTGGAACAACAAATTGATGTTTCCCTCTTTTTCCTTTCCCCTCTCTACAAAATCAATAAAAAATTATTCAAAGAAAGGGGCCTGGATACCAGGAAACAGGATTAGAGTCTGCCTCACACAGGGCCACTAATTCCTACTTCATAGGTGGTTGTATGTATTCAAAGAAGTGACATATATTTACAATTCTTTGTTTTTGGTCTGACCCTCAACTACCTTTCTAGATATTACCTGTTAGTCTTCTGCATAGGAGAAGACTATTACTAATACTATTTTCCATCTTTTCTTACCAGTTAGACTTGGTGGAATCTAATTCTTTAATTTGTAATGATAGCCCCGGCAATGTGACTTGTGAAATTTGATTCATCTTCTAGAGCCTATCTCAAACGCTACTTTTTTGATAAGCTTTCCTGGATTCATCCTGCTCTGATTCAGAAGTCATGTCCTCATCTGATCTGTGACACTTCGCAGGACATCATCACGGCATCTGCCAGTCTGCCTTGAATTTTTTCTTTGTGACTTAGATTATGAGCAATGGTTGTGGCAGCCTTTTCTGTATCCCTTGTTGCTCATTGTGGGAGCGTAGTAAGACAATATTTGTTGGTTAATGAGTTAGTTTTCCCAAGGTATAGTATTTTAATAACTTGTAGAGACAGACCTAGAGAATTTTAAATGGTTGTGGTTATTTTATGTGTTGTAATAATTGATATTTCTAGCACCAGAGGGAATAAAGTATTCCACATCAGTTAATTTTAAAATTATTACAAATATTCTTTTAAGTACCTAAAGTGATTTTATTTTGACTATTTATTTATTCATTTATTTACTCTTTCATTTTTTCAACCAACAAATATGTAATTATTTATTATGATAATCCATATATTAGAGACATAGGATGAAAATGTCTAACATCTTTCGTGCACTTTTTTTAATCTTTAGAGTAAGTTATTTTATCAAGAGTAATTTAACTTTTCATTCCTGACTCAGGCACTAGTATTTTGAGTATCAGACACTGAGCTATAATGCACAGTTGGAACTAATAAACCATATGAGTGAGGACTGTTTGCCTCTACCTCAAACTGTATTGCTTTGGGGCTCTAAAACTACTTTTTAGGTGTTTTTCTCCTTTTCTGTTGCTTTTGTGATGTAAATGAGATCATTTCTAGACCCTTTATTTTCTTAAGTACTGTGTGCTGGGAAGTCAGGCAGCCAGGTATGCTAATTTTCTGTATAAAACGTGAATTCATGGACTCTGAGTGAGGTTGTAAGTTGAAGGGAACATGTATGAAAAAGAGCTTGAAATTTGTTGTGATGCCTGAAATGAATTTTTAAAGATTATTTTCTTTTCAGAAAATGAATTTCTTTTCCTTTCAGTTCGATTCTAGATAGTCGAAACTGTATTATGTGTGTTGCTTTATATGTCACCTAAGACTTCCAGATAAAGTCAAGGGTTACAGCAGATATGGTTCAACTCTCTAGAAATTTGGTTTGTGTTGCTGTCTGAGCGAGCAGGCAGCAGCTCAGTGGCACTGTGTGTGTGTGTGGATCTAGTCTGTGAGGAAAAATGACAGGGGCCCCAGAAAGCACCACATCAGTCTGTAGACTTGAGTGCTCTAGGAAGCACGTGAAGAACGGGGTCATGTATTGTCTAACACTTTCATAAAATAAACTTTGTGAAGTCAGCCTACTTTTTAGTTCATCAAAAGCAGGTTAGTCACTGCATACCCTTATATTGTTATCTTCAAAGTTTCTTTATTTTTTAATTAAATTTATTGGAGTGACATTGGTGAGTGAAATATATAGGTTTCAGGTATATGTTTCTATAATATATCATCTGTATATCATATTGTACAAAGTTTTTTTTAAAAGAAATTTTGTCTTTAGATTCTTCTTTGATCATTAAATAGCTCTGACATCCTGCTAAACATTTAGATTTCTAATGCTGTGTTTAGTCTTGTGAACTTTATTTAGACTATAAAGAACAACAGTGGTCTAATTTAACTATATTAAGTTATTTCGTAGTATATGTCCTTTGGCAAGCATTTGGCAACACAGATCTATCCATTCAGGATATTTCACAGTTAACTTAAATTTTTTTGTTTTTGTAGGTTTGAAAAATGGCCATACTGTAGTAACTAATCAGCCTAATGCTTTGCTTATGAAAATTTTACCATCATTCAATTTTTTCATTTTGGGTTGAAAAAAATGAATCCAGATATAGAAGAAAGTACGGGACATTCTAAAAAAGTCCCTGTTAAACAGTGGACTGTCTAATAACTAATCTGCTGTGGTATTGACTCTCCAGCACATAGGTAGCCCTCCAAAAAATCATCCAGTTTGCTAAATTATGGAAATTCTGTGGAAGACGTTGACCTGGATTTTGAGCCTCATCATGGCTTCATCGGAATTTCATAGTGACCACAGGCTCTCCTACAGTTCACAAGGTAGGAGCCCCGCTTTTGAAACTGACAAGAGATACTGCTGTTAATCTGGCAAGAAAAGATTCTGCGTATTTAATTTGGGTAACCATTTTCTTTGGGATATGTAGTGATAGCAGCTTTATCAGTTCAGTGCTTATTTCATAAATGTCAAGGATTCTGAAAGTCTGTTTAACTTGTTTTGCTAATATTTAATATCCAGTGGATTTTAGAGTTTACGGGTCTCTTTCAGAAGATAAGAGACCCAGACCTCTTCTTTGGAATCGTAAGCTGTTGTAGGCTCATTCATTGTTAGGGCTTACAGGTAATGTTATGTTCAAGAGCAGTTCAAAGATTTCTGTTATGAAAGACCAAGAAATCAGAAAAATTCTGATACAAGGTTTTTCTAATATGGATCCATAGTGAAAAAAACTTTCCCTAACTTAAGAATTCTGATACTTTAGAATTCTAGTTCTTAGACTAAAAACGGAATAAAAATAAAAGAGTTGTAAGAAGTTCAGTTTTTCAAATTTGAACTCATAGATCCCTATTATTTTCATTCATAGAACTGAACTTTGTATCATAGAAAAGATCTTAACAGAAAGTTACCAGGAGCGAATGTCATTTGTTTTCCAGTCCTCATAGAATTTTTGCAAGTGTACCTTTTGGATTTCCTTCCCATGAATGTACGGTAACATCACTTTTGGGTGCTGATGAACCAGATTTTCAGGTTCCTGTAGACCGATATCTAGAAATCCATATATACAAAATGTGGCTCTCAAAGTAGATCAACAAAGCCTTTACATTTGGTATGAACTCTTATTCATGAGCAGTGACATACTTACTGTCATTTGAATTATTCCCATTGGCTCATAGTTTCATAGGAGTTTATATTCGTGGGTGAACTCCATGTATAGTGAGTGAGGCATCAGGGAAACGTTTGGTTTTCCGTAGTATTTTAGTAAACCTCGCTAAAAGGAAGATGTGGTTAAGAACGTAGATCGATAATATTTGGTATACCTAAATAACAAAAAATATATAGTCCTATGGTTTTTTGTCATTCTGATGATTTTCTAACATCTTTATTGAGATACAATAGATACACTACATAGTTTACCCATTATTAAAGTGTCCAATTCAAACGGTTTATAGTATATTCAGAGTTGAACAACCTTGACCGCAATAAGTTTTAGAACATTTTCACCATCCTAAAGAGAAACTGTGCTTGTTAACACTCACAAATCTCCTCTTAACCATCCTGCATCCCTAGCCCTAGGCACCCTCTACTTCTGTCTCTAGAGATTTGCTTATTCTGGGTATTTCTATATAAATGGAATCATATAATATATGGTCTTTTGTGCTGTTTTCTTTCACTTAGCATGTTTTTGTAATGTTAGACAATGAACTTTGATTATGAAAGCAGTTATGAAGATTCATTCATGTCATGGCATGTTTCAGTCCTATATTCCTTTTTATTGCAGAATTATGGGAATACACCACATTTTACTCATTTATTTATCACTTGATGGACATTTGGGTTATTTATTCCTTTTAGCTTTATGGATAACACTGCTATGAGCATTCGTGTGCTAGTTTTTCTGTGGATTTGTGTTTTCATTTTCTTGGGTGTATACGTAGCAATGCAATTGCTGGGTCAGATTGTAGTTCTGTGTTTAATCTTTAGAGGAATTGCCAGACTGTTTCAGAAATTGGCTAACTGAACATTTATTTTAAAATTTTTCTTCAAGGCTGTAGAGATTCTGCATAAACTTTTTCGGATGACTTTCAGAACATTTTAACTGAACTAAATTCTATACTCTTTTACATATGTGTGTTTTTTGCTGTTTTAAATTTCAATATAAAATATTCATATTTCCTGTACAATTTTGCCCTTTGATTTTATGTTTTTTAAATTAAATTTTAAGCAGAAAAATAGTCTTTTGCTTTTAAAATAATATTAAAATAATGTTATTTTGAGGAATGAAATAATTGAAATTATCTTTATATTTTAAAAATTTACTCTTTCAATTTGTTTACTATAACATTTTTTGGCTATAACTCATATATAATGGTGCATAGTTTTAGCCAGTATATTTGTTGTTTATATTGCTACTTTGTTGTTCTATTAAATTTTCTTTTCTTCCATGTGTTTTTTTTTTCTGGATTCTCTGCCTTATGATTACAAAGAGGAATTCCTGACTCATCTAGAACACTATCAGCTGACTATTCCAATAAGGGTTGACCAAAATGGAGCTTTCCTCAGCTTTACTGTGAAAAATGATAAACACAACCGGAGAAGACGGAGTATGGACCCTATCGATCCACAGCAGGCCGCATCTAATTTATTTTTTAAACTTTCAGCCTATGGCAAGCACTTTCACCTAAACTTGACTCTCAACACAGATTTTGTGTCAAAACATTTCACCGTAGAATACTGGGGGAAGGATGGACCCCAGTGGAAGCATGATTTTTTAGACAACTGTCATTACACAGGATATTTGCAAGACCAACATAGTACAACTAAGGTGGCTTTAAGCAACTGTATTGGGTTGGTAAGTAGATGTGGTCATTTCAAATTTCTTATGGGGAAAAATTTTGCAATGTAAATGTCTCCCCTCAGATTAAAAGATACATATATATACTCATGGGTGGTTTAAGTAGGGAAGGCAACTGTCTAAATATTTTTGTTATTTCTGCTGGTTTTGATAATCTTTTTGATAATGTTTGCATTGATTTTCCAAAATAAGAACTATATTTTAAAACCTATATTATCAGTAGAAGAATGAATGAAACCTCAGGTTTAATTTTAGATTTAAGTTTTTCTGTCCAAGTAAGATATCTTTTAGGCATAAACAAAACTCACTCATTGGTTAAGAGTTTAAGATTATGTGTGCATGTATGAGTGCATATTATTTCAGGAAACCATGACACTGATTGCCTCTTTAGGTTT